TACAGAAAGACAAAGCCCTTTAAAAGCTGTCCTAATGGCTTATGACATCTGCTGGCCTTCCCCAGGGCGCCTTTTGAATTTGTAATGCCATGTAGAGGATTAGCTACCAAAATAAAAGCTTTGATAAGAGAGGGGTACCTGGGGTTGTTTTTCCTTTTTCTTTACAGCTTTTCAGGTCTGATAACAAATTGTAACAAAACCAGCATCCAACGTTGCCATCGACCAGCATTTCACCATGCAGAAAGTGGTCATTAAGAGTTATTCAGTAAGCAGAGAAGAGTCATCTGGCCTATTTAAGGTTTTTAACTTTGTTAAGCTTTTTCAATCAAAATTAATCTGCTTTAAAGTCAGACCTCTTTTAGTTCTTTTTACATGATTTTAAAATGGTAAGATTACTTAGTATTAATGTAAGTTAACCTTTATTTATTCAGGAAGTCTCACCGAGATCAGGATCTCTTTTGCAAAGAGAGAACTGAGAATAAATGGCATACATACAATTCTGTCAGACACACACAGATACTGATTAAAATGTTGATTCAGCTAAAGAAGTTGAATATCTCTGCAATTTAGATATCACGGCCTTGTAAATGAAAAGTGAGTGAGATCGCGGACCGTATCTTAAGTCTTAAGATAAGAAGAGTCTAAGATAGGATTTTTCCTTATTTGGTATAACAGAGGCAAATCCTATCTTACTTCATCCAATCTTATCTCAGGTTAGGAAATCCTAAATACTCAATCCAATATTGGATATCAACTTTTATGTCTGTTACCTAGCAATCGATGCCACTTTTCTCATCTCGCAAGCTAAATGGCTTTTAATCGCAGTTTTTTTTACTGAACTTCAAGTCAGGTGGCTTAGAGGTGTTCTGTAACCTCAGTCGAGAAATCCAAATTCACGTAACGCTTAACTTGGGAGATTAAAAATAGTGAGTGGACTAAAATAGCGGACCAAGTCACCGCCATATATCCGGCATCCAGCTGAGCGTTGATGCTGTCAAAAAGAAAATAAGTCCATTGATAAGTGATACGAAGCAAAAGGCAACTGTTGAGCAGAGGAAAAAAACTGAGGGTGGCTCCTCCTGTAAATGTAAATGCTGTGCTAGTGTTTGCGACTTCTCAAAGCGCTCTTACATCACATTCACCATTCACACACGTTCATACACTGGTGGAACAGCCATCAGGGGCAATTCAGGATTCAGCATCTTGCCCAAGGACACTTTGACATACAGCCAGGGACTACTCCTGAGCCACAGCCTCCCTCGCGGACCCCAGCAGAAACCTGAGCCCGTTCTCATCTCAGGGCGTCATATACCGAGAATCAAAGTAAAAAAACTGAAATCACACTGAAATCACTTTCATTACGGCAACTCATAATGTGAGTCAGTCGTGTGTACGGCCCCCACATTCCTGTTTGCACTCCTGACAACGTCTGGGCATGCTCCTGATGAGACGGCGGATGGTGTCCTGCCAGACCTAGATCAGTGTGTTGGTGAGCTCCTGGACGGTCTGCGGTGCTACTTGGTGGCCTTGGAAGCACCGATAACATCCCAGAGGTTCTCAATTGGATTCAAGACTGAGGAGTGTGACAGTCAATGGCATCAATACCTTCGTCATCCAGGAACTGCCTACATGCTCTGGCCACATGAGGCCAGGCATCATCCTGCCCCAGGATGAACCCAGGGCCCACTGCACCAGCGTAAATGGCAGACCTGTCAATTCTGGCTTTATCTGGCTAATGCCAATTGAGCTACATGGTGCTGGGCTCTGAGCACAGATCTCACTAGAGGATGTCGGGCCATCATGCCACCCTCATCGAGTCTGTTTCTGACAGTTTGGTAGGAAACATGCACACCATTAGCGAGGTGATTTTGTAGAGCTCTGGCAGGGCTCCACCTGTTCCTCCTCGCACTAAGGAGCAGATGGGTTGATGCCCTTCTACAGCCCTGTCAAGCTCTCTTAGTGGCTGTCTTCTAGTATCCATGCTCTTGAGACTGTGCAGGGAGACACAGCAATACTTTTTGTGATGGCACATATGGATGTGCACATATGGATATGCCATCCTGGAGAAGCTGGACTACCTGTACAAACTGAATGGGCTGCAGGTACAGCCTCATTCTACCAGTAGTGACAAGGACACCAGCAAAACACAAAACTAGCACAAAACAATCAGTCAGGAAGGATGTGGAGAGAGCAATTTTCTGTGGCCACCACCTGCAAAACATTCACTTTTAGGAGGTTGTCTTGCTGATGACTCTCCATCCCAAGAAGTCCGCAACCTTGGTGTCATTTTGGACTCCACCCTTTCCTTCCAGTCACATGTCAAACTCATTACCAAATCTGCTTTCTACCACCTCAAAAACATCTCCAGACTGTCTCTGCAATTATGTGTAAAGCGTCCTTGGGTCTCGTGAAAGGCGCTATATAAATATAACTTATTATTATTATTCATTTGCACAGATTGATATCCCTGAAGTTTACAGTAATTGACATGATGTTATACTGTGATGATTGAGTGTTCCCTTAATTGTTTTGACCATCTATAGAGTAAATAATTGATGGCCTAATATTGATCCGTGTGGGATACCTTTATCAACCATTTAGAGATATTATTTGAACCAGTTGTGAGCAGAATCATCATCAAACCAATGGAAAACAGCTTATTTAACAAAATATTGCAATCAACAGTTATCAAAAGCCTTGAACAGATCTACAAAGAGTGAAGAACAATACTGCTTTTTAATCAGGTGAGTTCATTTATACTGTACATACAGTATGTATAACTCCTGCAAATATGATGTTAACCATCCCCCAGTATCTAGACTATGCTAATTCTTCATCCTAACTTGTTTATAACTGCCTAATATATGCTATTTGGTCATTGTGGATGTATTTTTATCTTTTATTTCCCAAGTCAAAAGGCACAGGGTTGGAAATGGGCCATAAACCAGCTATGACTCACAAGCCCAAAATATCCCACTGGATTAGATGGCGAGCCAGACTCACAGCTGACACTTACACAGAGAAAATATAACATATATACCTCTTTTCCTCCCACTCTCCCTCTCTCATTTTGTTATTTTGCACGTTAGCAGACACAAGCGCACACACACCTACTCACAAGCACACACACGCACACACACACATCCATTTCATTCTTATTTTTCATTCATGGCTTCGGGGGTTACACCACTTTGTGTGTATCCCCCGTGTGTATACCCAGTATCTGTGTAATCTTGCTGAGAGAAAAGAAAAGACAAGTCAATATCTGCTTAACAAGCATGTTATGAAGGACAAAAGCAGAACTTTGATTAATTTGTAGCATCATTCATCGTTCATATTTACTTTAACAAATGCAGCTCAGTCAAGGAGAAAATTCAAAGTTAATGGAAAATTAATTTTGGTATGTTTAAGTAGGCCTCTTGCCCAATGCCAGCTGGGATTGGTCCCCCCCGCAATCCTGTACACAGGATAAGCGGTTGACGATAGGGATGCTCAATTACGGCAAAAATGATAATCAAGATTATTTTGGCCATAATTGAGATTGCGATTATTAACACGATTAATGATTTACTTAGGAAACATCATGCATTCATTTAACTTTTAAAATTAAATGATTATTTTCTTTAAATGATTGTGGATCCCAAAAAGCCCATTAAATAAGAAAAAGTAATTGAATATTATTAATACAAAGGCTTAACACATTGGGTTTAGTAAATTGTTGAACTATGGGTAGAGGCCACTAGGCTAATTTCTGCAGTGTAAAATGCCATAGGCTTAAGATAATAATGGTGATTAACAAGTTGTAGCAGTTGTAGCAACCGTCATGTTTGCTCGAGCTGAACTAAAAATCACAACCTGCTGAGAGGGAGTTTGAGCTTTTAGGGAGGGGCGGGGGCGCAGCTGTAAGGGAAAGGGTGTGCTGGTTTCGTTTCTCGTTTCGTCTTGTCGAGAGGCACAATAATCGTTTGATTTCAGTTGGTTTCGTTGGAAGCCAAATTCAAAATCATGATTAAAACTTGAATAATTGCACAGCCCTAGTGGACAATAGATGGATGGATGTTTAAGTGGTGAGCCCCTTTATTATGAAATGAATTGTATTCAAAATATTTTGAGACTCTCCTGTTTCACCACATCCCAAAGGTGATCTATTGGATTAAGATCTGGTGACTGTGGAGGTCACTGGAGTACAGTTAACTCATTGCTGTGTTCAGGAAACCAGTTTGAGATGATTTGAGCTTTGTGACATGGAGCATTATCCTGCAGGAAGTAGCCATCAGTAGATGGTACACTGTGGTCATAAAGGGATGGACATGGTCAGCAACAACACTCAGGTAGGCTGTCATGTTTAAACAATGCTCATTTGGTACTAAGGGGCTAACTACACCACCAGCAGCACCCTGAACCGTTGATACAGGATGGGTCCATGCTTTCATGTTGTTCAAGCCAAATTCTGACCCAACCATCTGAATGCAGCTGAAATTTAGACTCTGGATTTCTAGGCTCTGCACTGACTTTGGCTATTCTGTTTTAAAAGTTACCTCCAGAGTAAGTGGTAAAGTATAATTTTAATAATTACACATTGCTGGGTTGTACTCCAGCTGAGGTTACACATTTAACCGTAACACCGAAAAGATTACTTGCCATTCATTACATATACACCATGCACTGTGAAACAATAAGACTACAAAAAGAACGTTTTTGTAATAGTTTGTGTAACTGACACGAGAATTGAATATGATATCATTATTTCTCTTTTTTTAAAGCATCATACCATTTACTTTCTACAGATAAATAGGTTGATACACTGACTGGGGTAAGACCATTGTAAGGTATGTCCTTTAACGGAAAAAATATTCTGCAACATTGGAAATCAGTCACAGAATTACCTGAGTTGTTGTTCTGTCCCTTTTCTTCCTTCTTAGGTCCAAGCACAGCACTGTATTTTAATTCACAGAAAAGAACACACTGAAAAAGAGGTGGAAAAGAATGTAGGTGCTGACCTAGACCACCAGCTGCGATTACCCTTCCTCCCAGACATCCTGCCACAAAGTCAGCCCTCTTCTCCCTCATCCTGGATGTTCGTCTGGGTTTGATCCAAATACCTGTCAAAGGTGAGAGGACACTAGATATTGTCAGTCAACCACAACAGAAAATTGAAGTTTCTCATTATCATGGTATTTGGTTATGTTGTTTTTCTTTAAAAATATGTTGACACCCAAACATTACAACCATATATAACTGTTGAACATTTCATTCAAGGGCGTCACTTTGTGTTGAAAAGTGGTGGGGACAGATTAGGGGTGTGACGATAGTCGAAGTCGAGAAAATATTTTAACACTATTTTGAAGAAATATTCAATGCTGAAATATGTGAGTGGGGGTCTGGGTGTCATTCCCCAGAAGATTTTGAGCATTAAACACTTACTTTTCTGCATTCTAGAGACATTTTCTGCACCAATTTATGCTGAAAATGTCTTTATTTATATAAAGGGAAACAGGTGACAATTCTAAATCTAAAAACGTAAAGGACTATAATCAGTAGCTTGTTTTTTTTTCTTAGCTTAAGTTACTTTTTTTGAACAATGCACATTTGTTTCTTCTATATTTAGCCTACATCGCATTGCATGTTTTCTTATTGTGAAAAGAAACCTTTTTCAAAACATTTTCATTTGTTATCATTTCTTGTTGCTTTCAATAAGTGATGGGGACATGTCCCCAGTGTAAATTCCGCTTATGATTTCATTCCAAAACAATGGGCATTAGTCACAGCCTCCACTCTTCTGGTTTCAGGCTTTTCACCACATGTTGGAATCTCACTGCAGGGATTTGCTCCCATTCGGCCACAAGAGCATTACTGAGGTCCAACACTGATGTTGGTGATAAGATGTGGCTCATAGTCACATTGCAGTTCATCCGAAAGGTGTTGGATGGGGCTGAGGGCTCTGTGAAGGCTTGTCATATTCTTCCCTACCAAACTCAGAAAACCATTTCTTTAAGGACCTGGCTTTGTGCACCAGGCCAGTGTCATGTTGAAAGGTCTTTCCCCAAATTGTTACCACAAAGTTTTACCAAAAAGAAGAAGAAAGAATGCATTATAGATAAAAACCTGTATTTGACATCACAATAAGTTCTGCCTCAGGAGGTCTTTTACTCTCCACTGTCCCCCTATCTCTTTCTCTGTCTTCAAACCAACTATCCAAGCAAATTATTTTTCTGTATTTGGGACAGTGATACGTAGTGACACACCCCCAATACCATAGAGCCTCTGCAAAGGAGACGAGCTGCAAATCCAACCAATGCAACAAAATACACTAGAGCACAAGCAATGAAAATGTGCTGCATAGACGCAATGTAAATTAATGCATAATGCTGCAAATGATCAGATGTACCCGGCAAGGTGAATTGTGGTATCTTTTTTTCCCTGCAGTGCAGCAGCCTACCAGTCCTGAATAGTTGTGTGTTACCCATGGATGACAGTTGAGATAATCATTCCAAATAGACACTATTTTATTGGATACCCTTTGGTATGGGCAACAATAGAATTTTTAAAAATAAAGGCAGGGTAGGCGATGTCTTTCTAAAACACTTTTTGTCATATTTGTTAAAGCTGTCTTTATATATACCAATATACTGCCTGTAGTCCTCCCAGGGCTGCAATAAACAGAGACACTCGTTTCATTCGGACTGAAGTTTATTATTGGCTGGGTGACTGTCAATCTACCTCGCCACCATGGCAACCAGCCTTGCTGCTTCAGGACAAGTCTAAATGCACGTGCCCTGTCTGCTCTTTCAGACCTGACAAAGCTAGGCACAAGAGGTCAGAATGGAGCCAATACCTTTTCAACGATGCCGACATCTGAGGGACCCCAACTGGCTGGAAATTGAGTCTATGGTCACTTTATTTCTGCTGGACAGGTTATCTGGCTTTTTTCATTTTGATGGTAATTTGTTACTTTCATGAAGTATCTTAATGATAGCCAACATAGCTACCTACTTAGCGTACAGCTAACGTTAGCTATGACAGGGTAGGTGTACACTGCATCGAAGAGCTATTTCTAAACCTAGCGTTACTCTCAGTCTAAGTTTATACTGTATGTTCCCTGGTACCTGCATTGGTTTATTTATTCAACCTACGTTAACACCTATCTTTATCTTGTATCTAATCTGTGTGTGTGTGTGTGTGTGTGTGCGTGCGCGTTTAATATTATCTTGTGTCTGCACAGGGCTCCAGACTAATTTTTTTTCCTCGGAGCACTGTTGCCCCTAACTGAAAATGTTAACTGTATTTCTAATAAATGCTTTGGTAATTAATACAGAAACTACAATGTGTTGTTTAATTTTAGTATGTCATATCTTCCTGGAACACTGTTCTCTCCCCATTTCCACCACTGAATATATTTCAGTCTGGACCAAAGTGAAGGACTGATATTGCCATCCCCAGAGCCATGATGGCTAAAACACTTCGAGAAAGAAACACTGCTGTAGTGGGGGATAAAGCATCTCAGTACCTCATTCATGAAACTGAGTGAAATATAAAACACAGACCACCAGTTTCAAATGCAGGAACTGTACTAGAATGTGGTACAGCTACATCACAGAGCAGAGTTCTCTATTTACACACATGGTCATGAGCTCTGGAAAGTGACCATAAAGCAAATACACGTGGTTGAACCAAAGCTCCTCAGGGTGGCTGTCTCACTCTTTTTTGAAGGGGCAAAAACTTAATTAATTCCATTGTGAAGTTGCTAAATCCCCACGCTGAGATAAGCAGGCTGACCAGTTGCCTTCCCGTGAAAGCATCACTGAAACAAACAACAGCCTGTACAAATCCAAGAAACATTTAGGGAAATGTTGGAGAACATTGCGGGGGTAAAGGGACATCTGCTCTGCATGCCTTATACCTGGATTCCACCGGGCACGGCTCTAAAACATCGCACCTGCGACCTGGTTTTGCAGATTTTGTTGACAGGGTCAGATTTTGCTGATATGGTCATTTTTGCGCCGCTACCATACACTGTAAATTTACATACAGTAACTTACTGTGAAAGTAATGCAACTAGTAGTCAGTAATTTACTGTAAATCTACAGTCAATTCTTTTACAGTGTAGTCAAGTGGGCTGCGTGATAAAATGGGTTTTATTTTTGTCTGTTTTCAATTTTTGTTTATTTTTGATATACGATCGGGAGTCTGCACAGGGTGTTTTATTTTGAAATTTAACCGGATTGTCTATGCCATTGCTGTGTCTGACTTCCTAGTTCATTCTCCTCTGTCTATCTTGATGCAGCTTGAGTCAAAAATAGGCGCATATGGTGGAATTATAAGCATTGTCTAGAATCATCTCCACGGGAAATCATCTCCAGTGGCCACATCCAGACACAGCCAGAACGTGAAGCAGCTGTGCCTGGTGGAATCCAGCAGTGAGCTGCATAATTGTAGATGGAGGTATCTTTCAGTCGATAGATGGATGGGTTTACAAATTAATTTTCACTTGAAAACACAGGTGCAGACACATGGTCATCAGAGAGCAGTTATCCCACCTAACACAGATGCGTGTTAGGTGTTTGTTTGTAAGTATTTCTACTGAAGCCGCCAAGCACTGGAAAAACAGTGCCAACACTGAGCATGACAGAGGCTAGAGAGGAAGCTTATCATAAAACACCATTTGTTAAACCACTACAAAAAAAATCTTTCCTGCATAACATTGCTGATACTTTCTTGTTTACATTAATTTCTGACCTGCTATTAAATGTTGCTACGCATCACTACCCAAGAGAATTAAAAGAAAGCATGATTTTGGTGGAAAAACCTCTTTTCTGTTAGTAACAACAGAGAAGGATAATAGGATAACAAAATAAGCTCTCAAGGAATTAAGAAATCAACACCTTTTAAAAGATGTTCCTCATGTTCAAAAACTAGATACAATTAGTCAATTTGATTTCCTGTAAACAATATAAGGCTTGGAAGAGAGGATAGGCATATTTTTGAGATGACACAAATGGGTTGCAGAGCTGCTGTAGGACTGGCTTTAGGGAAGTCGTGGCAGAGTTGTAATGCAGCTAAATGGTAATCTCTGAGTCAGAGGAGGGGAAGGCAGAGCCACCAGCAGATCACTAATAGATAGGCTGGCTGCATCAAATCAGCTATTCAGCTGCAAAAAATGGAAAGGCCAGATAACATGCAAATACTGTGCAGATATGGGGGAAGAGGGGAATGAGGAGAGTTTCGAGTAGCTTTCAGACAGGCATGCAAGCTTGTAACTTTTGCTGTTTTCCTCCTCTTCTCGGTGTCGTCTGTAGATAAATTGGCAGAAACAGCCATGACAGAGTTGCTGTCTCACTGTCTCTGCTATCTTTGGATTCAGTTCATTGACTGATAAGTGTGTGTGTGAGTGTGTGTGTGTGTGTGTACGTTCCAGATTGCAGATTGCAGAATTCATGGCAGATCCCTCTTTCATCTTAAGTTTACCCCATTCATTATCAGTTTTAATTTCTGTGAGTAACGAGTTCCCAGCATGTCCTCATACCTGAACAACAAAACAGGTCAATTGTCAAGTGTCCCATAACGGCATATAAGACGGTTTTCCAAAACAACATATATGTCCGTTGGAAAGTACAAGGACACATATGACTGTTCCCCAAAACGACATGTAAGAGCATTGGCAAGAACTGGATCTTAAATACATTATGTAAATCATGTGATCTATGTCACATGACGTTTAACACACGGTAAAGATTGTGAAACAGAGGTAGTTTGGTTAGGTTCAGGCAATATAATACTTGGCTAGGTTTAGGCAGCAAAACTACTTGGTTAGGTTTAGTGTTAAAATAAGTACATTACATACAGGGCTTGACATTAACTTTTTTGCTCACTAGCCAATGTGGCTAGTGGTTTTCCAAAGTTACTAGCCACACAGCATTTTCACTAGCCAAATTTTTGTTTTGGGGAAATTACAATTTATTATTAATGTGTTTATCTATTAAGATAAACACATTAAAATTGTACCTTCTTATTATATATGATAAAACTGCTGCATGGGGGCAGGCCAAAACAACCCTTGGTCAGACGGCCAGTCCGCGGATTTAAACTCCACAGCACAGTCTTC